ACGATGGTATATTTTTGGAAGGAAAATTAATTGTTTGAGTCAATTTGACAGCGTTGGAATGTATATACGTCCCTTCGTTCGAGAGAAGACGATATGTGATTGCGGACTTACGCCGTCGATTTGGGTCTCTCACAGAGCGTAATTAGAGACATTCGCCATACTGCCGTACTAAGGAAACACGCCGTATGAGCCTTCAGACATTGCCAAGTTTCCATCAATGAAAACTGAATTTACTAGGAAAATTGTGAATATTTCCCCCATGATTTTCAGACAATTTTCTAGACGCAATTTAGTCTAAATGTGTGAAACTTCAAAGGGAAAACGAGCAGGAACATGTCGTCAAAAATACATGTTTCATAAGAGGAAATTTGGCAACTCTCGAATGTTCATACGGCGTTCTCTCTTAGCACGGCAGCATAGAAACGTGTTTTGTGATTTGGTAATTGGTTATTGGTTTTTCATTTTAGTGCGCAGTTTACTCCACACAATCTCCCATAGTGGCTCAGGAACTCTCGAGAAATCGATGGCCGAAAGAGCTAAACCCCGTATCTTCGTTTGCGACGTTTTAGAATTCCGGTCATACTGCCGTGCTAAGGAAGAACGCCGTATGAGCCTTTAGATGTTGCCAAATTTTCGTCGATAAAACATGGATTTCCTGGTAAACTTATGCATATTTTTCTTCCAATTTTTCGGAGAATTTCGAATTTCGAGAATGTCCTTGAAATTTTCTGAAACTTCAGATAAGAATATGAATTTTGATCTGAAGTTTCAGAAAATTTCAGGAAAAATATTCATAACTTTCCTCAAAAATAAACATTTTATCAAAGGAAATTTGGCAACTCTCGAATGTTCATACGGCGTTCTTCCTTAGCGCGGCAGCACTTCTTGGTTTCCTTGAACAACTAATTTATCGAAAACTTCCTTGATTTTTCTTCACCATTGATATTCTGTCAAAAGTCCAATCTTTGTTGTTGGTTGATTGTCCCCAGAAAAATAAAATAGAAGTGGATATTTTGAAACACCGCAATGGAAGTACGTGGTTTTTGACTTAGCCATCAAAATGTTTCCTCATTCGGAAAAAATCGTTTGCGTGGTTCTTTGCTGACGTACGTCACAGTAAAGCACGTACAGCAACCCACTGTGTGAATTGTTTTATGTCAGCAAGTGTTTTTTAAACAGTGTCAGAACAACTGTCTCTGTAAACCAAAAGACAAATATGTGCGAGTCAAAAAGGAGGGGCGTGGCGTGCTTTACGATTTATCGATTGATCTGCCATTTAAACCTATGGAAAAGAATCGATAATCAGGGTGTTCGCAGCGAACACCTTTATAATCGATTATTTACTACAGCTTCAAATGAGGAAATATCGATGGATCGCGAAGCACGCCACGCATCTATCGACCAATCCGCTCAGATGCTTAAGTGATTCCAAGGCAGGTTTTATGGAGGCAGCACGATTTTCGCGGTTTCAATTTTTGGCACAGGAATTGTACGCGACGATAGCAATACCCCGGTGAACCAATGATAGCGATCGGAATGAATTCAGGGGGGGGGGGAGGGGGGTGTTGGGACATTATCCGAAGGGTTTCCGCCCCCGGACTCGATTTTTCCCCTATCAATAATTGATGAGCCACGTGTTGAACGGTTTGGTGAAATTGAAAATATGTCATTTGCGATCATCTCGTCCTGCTAATCTTAGCAATTTACTCCGGTAAAAAATTCCGCTTCACCGAATCTCGAAGGGTTTCTGAGCTCAATTTCTAGCAACGAAAATTTGATTACATTTTCGAATCTGGAACTACTATCTCTAACTCGTCCGTAAAAGCAACTATCTGTAAAAGTGAACATACTGTACATACGTTATTTTTGAATGAGCTAAAAATGAGTTCCCAATTGCAGAATCAAGTCTAATTGGACTATATTTTGCAATTGGGAACTACAAATTCTGACTCAGTTTAGAAACAGCGCATGCATTATTAGTTTCCATGTGCACATGGATGTTTTTATGGATTAGCCATGAAATTGTAGTTCTTAATTGCGAAATGTGGTTGACTTGTCAATTTGAATTCGGTCGTATCGATGGCATCTCCGTAGAGCCGTGGGATTTTTCCCAGATCTATTTATCGTACACATATGACTATGATCAACATGGGTTTGTTTCTTTGGTAGACATTTGTTTAACAATTTTATTCTTTTACATATCGACGGTGAAACCACCAAACCACGTATCTCGTTTGCGGTGTTTAAAAATCTACGCTCACATTTTATTTTTTTGAAGTAGACCAAATCAATATTATTTCTTGAAATTTTCACGGAATTTTCTCCGCACAAAGAGGAAAAATCACAGAAATTTTCAAGACTGGATGTTAAGTAGTTTTTCATTGAAAAAATAAAGTATGACAGGAAGTCTGCGACGTCGCAAACCGAGATACGTGGTTTGGTAGTTTCACCGTCGATATGCATTAAATTTTACAAAAAAGAGGCAGGTTTTTAGGTGCACTTTCGATGTCATAAATTTCCGCTCAGGCAGAAATGTTGCCTCCCTTGATTACAATGTGAACCAAAATGGGTCCTCCCAAGTAAAGGGGCGGCTGTTTGAGGAAAAATTGGGCTTCATTTTGAAAGTAGGAACTACAATTTCTGGCTCATCCGTAAAAAAATGTATGTGCATAAGGAAACTCTTGGTGCATACGCTGTTTATAAACTGAGCCAGAAATTGAAATTCGTAATTGCGGAATGAAGTCAGACTGTGAATATGGATCTTGTTGAAGGAGATTTGTAACATCTCACCATAAAATCGACAATCTTATAACGACCGCAATGAATAACTAAATAGTATGATTTTTGAAGAAGACCCTTGCAAGGGATTACAACAATTTTCATCCCCAATAAATTAGAAAGAACGCACATAGAAAAAAAATTGGCAGTATTGTAAATTTTAAGGTAGGCTTTTTCTTACCTTAATATTTGTCAAAACCATACCATTTTTTTCTTCCTTAATGTCAATTTTTTGTAGAAGCAAATGGCAGTAATCCCATGCAAAGGTCCTATTTCGATGACTAAGAAACAATACCGCCTATATGCTTAACTGACGACATTGCAGGTCGAAGAAGAAACTTCGCCATTTTTGTGATTTTGAGATTAGATTTGCAATTTCTTCCATACATTTCAACGTCTTTTCAAAGCGCCCTTGCGGGATCGGAAAAAACCAAAATTATCAGCTAGCGTATTAAGACTGAAGAATGCGGCAAAGTCGCTAACTCATTTTGCAAAAATTGTCAGATAGGCGGTACTGTCCCTCAGCCCTCGATTTGTAAAGTTTTATTGTTGAATTGAAGGGCTCGGAAGACAAAGGCTCATAAGTGCAGTTTTTGCTATTTCGAAAGATACTTCTTTGAAGTGTCTCAATCGCATGGATCGTTATGGCGGAAAGAAAGTTATAACAGACTTTTTGATGCTTAAAAATTTGAGTTCGGGAGTGAATTTTTCATAGAATATGCATTACGGCTAATTGAAAGTTTACTTGAAAGCATTGATATTTCATTTTCTTCAAAAACTGCACTTATGCGCCTTATCCTCCAAACCGCTCAATTTTACTTGACACTAGGTAAAATGATTATGCAGCATCACGTCCAAGCACTGAAAAAAAAGGTTGGTAGAATTTACCATTCCCTCACGCTGTATTCTGCCAGAGGACCTCTGCCATGGTTACCTCTACCAGTATACATATAGTAACGTATACCTATTTCTTCTGGCAGAATTAACTCTGAATGCAGCGTGAAGAAATGGTAAATTCTACCAATCTTTTTTTTTTTCAGTGAAATCTTGGACTTCACCATGCTCATCTCTGAACTTGAGCTTTCGCTGATCGCTGAACTTTCTATAATTCTGTCTAAAGGATCTCTTTCAAGTCTTAATTGAGGCACTAGATGCGGAAAGGGCACTTCTCGGCTGCAGTGTTTCAGGGTCTCCTCTAATATTTCATTCATTGTAAAAAAAGTGAATGCATCCATTTCACTAAAAATTTTACTGAATATTCCTTATGATTCTACGATTCTCTGTGGAAAAAATTCTGGAAAAATCACTCATTAAATTCTCCTCCAAGGGATTAATGGAGATGTTGCATGTGTGAGGAATTTGCGATTTGGCTATTGATTCTTACGTAAAAGTTCGCGAGAAACACGATGAAGCCACTGGTTTTCTCTGAAATCAACTCCCAAGCTCAAAAGAAGCTCTCAAGTTAAGGCCAAAATGGAGGGGATATCCCACGCTATCCTGAGAGGCCACATCTATATCAAGACAAACTCTCCATGCAAGGATAGGGAGCAAATACATTAGCAGGGTTGCCGTGTTTTCAGTGTTGGAGTCCCAAAATAAAGTGGCAACCCTGCTAATGTATTTTCTCCCTATCTTTGCATGGAGAGTTTGTCTTGATGTAGAGGTGGACTCTCAGGATAGCGTGGGATATCCCCTCCATTTTGGTCTCGACTTGAGAGCTTTTTTTGAGCTTGGAAGTTGATTTCAGAGAACACCAGTGGCACCATCGTGTTTCTCGCGAACTTTTACGTAAGAATCAATAGCCAAATCGCAAATTCCTCACACATGCAACTTCTCCATTAGCAACGGATATTCTGAAACATCGCAATCGAGAAGTGCCCTTTTCGCATCCAGTGCCTCAATTACAGTATAAACCATATGGGGCCTCCTGAAGAACGACCACGGGTACAGTCCTATGAATAGAACCCCCAGCGTGGCAACGCGTCGGGCCGAAGGGGTAATGACTACACGCACGGACAGAATATGATTACAAATTTCTACAGAGCAATGATACGGACACGGACGTCGCATGACGTCGCGTCGGGACGTCGCGTCGGGTGGACGTGGACGCATCCGTATCCCGCGCCGGCCCGGTCGCCAGCTCCGTTGCACGCCTGCTCCGCCCAGCAGCGCCGCGGAAAGCTCGCGCCCCAAAGCTCAAAGCTCGCCAGTCTCGCCCCTCGCGCCGCGGCCGACCCACGCTCCAGAGCTCGCCGTCGCGCCCTCCTCTCGCGCAACTCGCGAAAGTTGCAGATCCACTTTCGGAATGTGCGCCATGAGCGATACGCGACCGGAACTTTCGCGTTCTCAGCTTTTACCCGAAAGTTCGTGATTTTCATTCTGTGCGGGAAGGATGACCAATGGATGAATTATTGAAGTCTGTGTGTTGATTTCCGGTCGGGTTTTATTAAAGTTGTGTGCTCGATTTTTGAATTTTTTGGTTTTTGAAAAGTTTGAACTTTCGCTCGTTCGCTTCGGGGATCCGTTGATCCTGCGATTTGAATCTAGGTCGGGGAAAAAATCGAATTTTTGCCCGTCTTTTTGTGTTAGTTCTTGATCGGGAAGAGGTTGTGTGAACTGAAAGCTCGGTTATGATTTTTGAAAAATAAAAATTTCGACTATCGTAGTTTTTTTTTGGATAATTTTGTATTGTGAAAAATATTCTTGGCGGATGCACCCATTTCTGGCGTATATTTCTCGGCCTTAATCTGTGTGAAATTCAGTCTAATTCCTCCGAAGTGTGTAATATTATTTCCGGATCAAAGAAAGACTTATTTTTTTTTTAATTCTTCTTTGAAGTGTCACCAACCAATTTTGAACGTGGTCAACCTTGCACTATCTGCGCTTTTTGTACCGCAGTTTTAAAATTTCCTTCGGATAATTTTTTTCTAATTCTCCCAAGTGGTGTTGCTCTCTATACGTTTGGAAGAATTTCCACTCAAAATAACGAGAACCTCTGGTCATTTGAGCAATACGGGAACTTGATTCATCGAAAAAAATTTAATTTTACGCACAAAAGTATTTACCTCACTCTACATTTCAATATCGTTAATCGTGTTAGTAGATATTTTCAAAATATACATATATTGCCAAAAGTCATCAGCGCCAAGAAAGAAAACTACCCAGAGAATTTGACTCGATAATTTTCTGAATCTCTGTGCACAAAATTTGCTCAAATATCGTCATCCCTGTGCATTCCTTTGGATTTAAATTTCAATTAACAATCAGAAGTTTAGTGCCAATTTTCAGTCTCCACACAACTTCTAAGGCAAAAAATTTTCAGCCCCTCACACATTCAGCTCGTAGTTTTTTAATTTCAACCATATCGTTTTTTGGCTAAATTTGTTTCATCGTTGACAACCTCTCTAAGCAGTAAACATTATTCGAAGTAATCACTTTTTAACCGGTAAATTTTCAAATGTTATTTTCTTTTTTCATTTACTACCTCTAAATTTGTAAACTTTAAAGAAACGGAGACAGCTCGCGTCGTTCGATCAGTGTAAACCTCGCCGATTTTAAAGTTTCTATTTTGAGCCTTCGGATTTCCTGAGGAGTCAAAATTCTTTTCTACCAAAGTGCAAAATACATATCCCTGCTTTTGGGTTGTGGGAACTGGGCTGTGTGAATCGGTGGCATGTTCTGTGTTTCTTCCCTGGTGACCAGCTTCAATACCTAGTGCGCGGCACGAATATCAACGGAAATAACAAGATCCATAACTGTGATAAGGCCACCCAACTATTAGCTGTGAACTTCGTTGCGGACGGGGTTCTTTCAAGAAGCGGGTTTTTCGGTTCTCATTTCGTTGTCCGTGACTTGCGTTCGTGATTGTGCTGCTTGATTGAGCGCCGGACTAACTTCGCGCAGAAAACAGGTAATTTTGTCGATATGCCTAGAAAACACATTAATTCCAGTAATCAGATGTCTGAGCGTATTCCTTTCGGAATTTAAACTTCTGTACACTGGAAAAAATGGTAAATTTTACTATGCTCTGACACAGTGATCCGATAACGGTATTAAACAACATACGCTACGGTAGAATTTGCCATATTTCGGTAAGTATCACCAGAACCTTGGTGGACACTACTATAATTATGGCAATTTTCACTATATAGGATCACTGTGTAAAAAAAATCAAGTAGACTTATAGTAGATGTTACCATACTTTTTTCAGTGTATCGTGAAGTGCAGCAGGCTGATTATTGAAATTTATAGACTAAGGTATAGGATAAGGATGTAGGAAAAATAGGTAAGGGAACCTGGAGGGGTCCTATTGCTCGAAACGGGTGGTTCTTTGAGACTAAGGAGGAAAATGATGGTCTTAGTTTACGATTCTCTAGAGAGTTACCGTTAGTTAGTCTGTTACTTGTCTCCTTTGTCCAGTGCAACCACTCGTTTCCACCAATAAGATCACTCCATCTTCTCTTCGTTTTCTTTGTTTATTGTTTTGTCTATCAATTTCAATAATCAGTTGGCTGAACGTTATGTATCTATCGTCGTTTCCTTGACACAAGAACGTACCTGGACTTAAACGTCGCAAAATTTCTATTCGCAAATTTTATTATTACCATGAAACTGAGGGCTGTTAATTGAAATTATAATTAATGTAGCTTCATAGTGGATAATATCGGTATTCGATTATCACGCCCTGCCACTGTGTCTAAAAATGATGCAAGTGCGATTCTAGAGGAAAGTACTTTCAAATTGGCTGGGTTACTACCTTCAAACCCCCTCTTCCGGAGGGGCGCGCCCTTTTCAAAAGTTAGGACCAATCCACCTAACAGGACGTACCTCCGACATCGAATTCACCTTCTCAACTGTTTTATCTGCAGTCGGTGTGATTAAATAAGCGAAAAAATCAAAATATTTTTGCCTAGAAATTACTATTTGACCGCCCATACAAATGACATTCAACAGAAGGGGGCCAACTTGATTACAGTGTTCAACAAATCGTTTATCTCTATCTTTATCTGAAGAAAAACTTCTTAGAATAGCAAACAAATTTTATTTTTCCAACGAAACATTGTTAATTTGAAAGGAAAATGATTCTGCAAAGATTGTTGTGTACATTTTTTCTTTCTTTTTAAATCGAAGAAAAGTTGTGCGACTTTGAATGCACTGTAAATGAGTTTGTATCCCTCTGTTAGAAACAGTGATCAGATTCGTAAATGTAGTACTAAGTAGATAGATTTATATGCAAGGCGCAGGCGATAACTATTCGTACTTAGCGGAAGTGATTTTGCCTACACGGTAAGATGAAGGCGATTTGCGCAGCCTTACTTCTCGAACGGGATGCCATGCATAGGCATACGCTGGCCTCACGCGCTTATTCATACGCTTTACTAACCGTGTTTCTGCAACGATAAAAATATAATTCCGCAAATATTAAAATAAGGATCTTGGCCTGTGTATTGGGTTGTCTGTGTAATTTATGTAAAAAAAATTCATTCTTTTATGTTAATAAATTTAAGATTATGCACTTCATTAAAGCCTATGTCAAAGAGAATGGACTACTAGACAAGGTGCATATTTGAGCATTTTCGTTCATTTTCCTTCAAAAGTTCACGTACATGTAGATCACGATTTCTACAACGAAAATCAGCGAGAGTAACCCTCAACCTCAAGAAGAAATGAACATTTTTCGAAGCGTTAATTCAAAATTATCACTCGTAAAAGGACACACTGACTTTTATTGTGACAGTCACAGTATAGAAATATGACAACCTCAATATCGGCACTTCGGCTCTGCTATTGTAATTTATTTAAACTTTGATAACAAAAAGCGGGGAAGAAACACTTCCTATTGACAAGCCTGATAAAACTGCTGTAGTGCGCGATTCGATTTAAGTACATCCTGGCTCTTTTTCTGAGCGGAAATTCAAATTTTACGTGATCAATGCTGAGCAAAAGGGTTAATATTTTTGTTGCGAGTTTATTTCATAAATTTCTGTCGCGCAAATCGTTTTTTACATGAAATATGAAAGAGGGAACAATGGAACATACATCAAAATACTTGAATTCGCACCTTGTGTAGTGGTGCCTCAGTAGATGGATTTACTCAAGGCGGAAGCGATAACTATTCGTACTCGGCGGAAGTGATTTTGCCTACACGGGAAGATGCAGGCGACTTACGCAGCCTTCCTCTCGAGCTCCATGCCTCTCAGACGATGGACTCTCTCGTGCAATTTCCCTGACGGAAGAACATAATTTTATTTCATCGTTGCTAAATCTCCCCTCGTAAATAAGACATTAACCTGAAGAATTTTTGGTATGCCCAACTGAAAATTTCACCAATTTTTCCCTGGATTTCATGCAAAAATTAGAAAAATCTTGCATAACAATTTGACAAATACATTTTTTAAAATAAATTTATTTTTTGAGCAAATTTGGCAACCTTGAAATTGAGTTTCGTGCCTCCTTGTGGGATGACGAGCGAGCTTAGCTTACATATCTTAGCAGTAATTGGAACTACCTAAACTATTATATGGATTGCATTTTGCAATACGGAACCCCTATTTCTGGCCCATTTTAGGATCAACATACATGCCATTGGTTTTCCTACGCAGGTATGTGGTTTTATGGGAGAGCCAAAGATAGTGGTTCCTAATTGCAAAATGTAATCCATATCATAACAACCCTTTCATCAGGCATTCTAAAATACATTTTTCTATACCTCTACTTTGCTAATGCTCATTAAATATATTTAAGTGGTGTTTCACGAGTACAACACGCTTTTTTCGCCTGTCATCGTGTTGCTGCAATCTTTGTCATTGGATCTTAGCTCGTTTATTGGGTTCGTTGCGTAATTTATTTAAAAGGTTTTAATGGTTTCGATGGTGATCTAATAAACCCGATCAAAGGGAATAGAACTATCCCTCCTCAAGCATTGAACGGAGACCGCGTTGTCTCGGATCCATCGAGCAGTAGACGAAGAGAGTCTCGGGGGTTGGAGGGGAGGGGGAAGGGGGGGGGGGGCACTGCTCATTAATAAGATGAGAATCTCGAGGAAAATGAGGAAGTCTCGGAAGGTGTTCTAATATCACGACTCCCACAGATATGAGACGATTACTTCCATTGTTCCCGGCGACATTAAGCGTCATTTAGCCGGGCGCGTCGGGCCGCGTCGCGCGTCGTGGCGCCGCTTTTTCAAAACACTCTCGCGCCCCCTCCCCCCCGGGTTCTCGAATTATCGGCACAGAATAGAGTGGTGAAATAATTATGCTTCAATTTTCCCCAAGGAACGTCCCTCCGGCCGTCCCGGTCCCGCCGCCTGGAGAGTCGAGACATTTCGCCGCACGGTAGGGCGAGGAAGTAGGACTAGAGTTTGCACATGAATTTTTCGGTTGAAATTTTAAATTTTGATGTTGATTCCGTCACAAATTTAATTTCGAGGGGTGTTTTTGAGAGAAAAATGTACCAAAAGCAATACAAAATCTGTGTTGGTTTGGGTTTCGCTTCAAATATTAACCAAAAATAACACAAGAACACAAATATTTTCATCAGTGTAGTAAAAGAGGTTGGACATGCATTTTTTGGCTGAAATTTTAAATTTTGATGTTGATTACGTCACAAATTTAATTTCAAGGGGTGTTTTTGAAAGGGAATTTCACGAATAACCCGATAGAACCATCTTTACACACAGGAAGAAATTTCAACTCAAAAGTTGGGTTACTACGAGAAGTAAAACGCAAAATAATCAAAGCCTTCGGTTGAAAATTTCAAAAGAAAATGGCAGCTAGTTATCTCGAAGAAATTAAATGAAAAACGAGTGGTGAGTACGAACATCGCAATCGGAGGAATACATTTTCTCTGCCTCTTCATTGTTTTCTGCGCTAAATTCACTGCAAACTGTACCAAAATCAATACAAAATTTGTGTTAGTTTGTGTTTCACTTCATACATTTACCAAAAGTAACACAAGAACCCTAATATTTTAATCAGTGTAATAGAAGAGGCTGGACATGAATTTTTTGGCTAAAATTTCAAATTTTTATGTTTATACCGTCACAAATTTAATTTCAAAGGGTGTTTTTGAAAGGGTATTTCACGAAACATCAACAGAACCACTTTTACACTTTCGTGATTCGTATTTTCGAAAATGTGGACCGCATCAAGTAGAAAGGAGCCAAGCCACATCAGCTGTTTCCAAATTTAATTCCGCATTTATTTTTCACATGAAAACGATTGTACGGATTTGTATGCAAATTTCAGTGAATTTTCTGCAGAGTATGAAGCAAGCTAATTAAATATTTCGAAGGAATCCGCCCTAACGATCGCTAGTAAAAACTTAAATTGCCCGGTTAAATTTGGCAATAGCTTATGTGGCTCGGTTCCTTTCTGCTAAACGCGATCCATACAACCGCCGTGCAAAGGAAGAACGCCGTATGAACATTCGAGAGTTGCCAAATTTCCTCCGGTAAAATGTTTAATTTTGAGGAAAGTTATGAATGTTTTTCCTTGAAACTTTTAGACAGTTTAGATCAAATTACAAACAAAATTATCTGAGATACCGACAGAAAAATATTCAGAAATTTTTCTATAAATTAGCGATTTGTCAACGGAAATTTGGCAACGTCTGAAGGCTATTACTGCGATTTTCCTGGGCATGACAGATAAGCTTTCAAAATTTCCAGATTTTGTCCAACTTCTTGTATCGACTCGATCCAGTGTACGCTGCTCCTCTGATGCTGAGGTGCGGGTGTATCTCTATCTTCACGCGAGCCCAGTGGCGTGGCGTGCTTTGCGATGTATCGAATGATCTGCCATTTAAACCTATGGAAAAGGATCGCTAAATAGGGTGTTCGCAGCAAACACCTTGATAATCGATTCTTTACCATAGGTTTAAATGGCATAACAACCGATACATCGCAAAGCA